AAGTCCAGAACAGCAGCAGCCAAGCCCCTGTACACTGTCTGGGACTATGGCTGGGTGGGGGAGAGAGAAGGGGAAAACAGGGAGAAAAGATTGCTTATCACAACTTAGTGCAGCTGAAATCTCCAACCATTAACCATGACAATATTTTCAAAACTCCAATATGTCATGAGGAGATTCCCTTATCTCTCCATCTCCCTCTATCTTGCCTTCTCTGTGCCAAAATCGCTCTCCTGAAACAAACAGTTCTCTTTCTTCTTTGGAATGGTTCCTATCTCCTCCTTGAGAATATTCTGGTCAGTTCTTGGAATGTGATTTACATTACTGACCAGGGCACAGAGAACAGAACAATGGACGGGTTCCCAGCTGTGCACCAAGGGCAGGGTGGAGCAGATCCTCTGAGTGCCTGGAGTGGGAGGGAAAGGGTGAGAGCAGGGTTTCAAGGGTGCTTAGCAATCTCCTGCTTGGGAGGAGTGGATATTTCATTGCAATATTCTCGCAGCTGCTATGGACTGGCAGGTGACATGGTGGGATCTGAAGAGCCTAATGGGAGCCCTTTCACTCTTCTGGGATTTGTTGCTGGAACTACAGGCTTCAGGCCTGACTCATGCAATGAGGGCTGGGCACAAGCCAAGCAGCAATGGAAAGACTCTAGTGTCACACACACTGCCCTTGGCCCTGCCAGCTCAGCCTACTAGGGGCCAGCCAGGGCTTGCTAGGCAGGCAGAGCCCAACCCAGGGAGTCAAGACTTTTTTGCAATTATGGAGACTTTTCTCCAGTGGGGCAAGAATGCATTCCCTCCCATAGATGCACAGATTATTGAGAAAATTGTTCCTGCCTGTCTTCAAAGGCCAGAGAGGTTAGGAACCTGCTCTTTCCTTTTTCAGAAAGCTTAAAAACATGTGCAGGTGGTTGGTCTGCTCCTAATGGCAGCCTCAGTTTGGATGGGAGGTACCACCCCCATGACCTTAGCTGGAGTTCGCTTGAGCCTTCAGGCAGGGCAGCCAGATGGAACCTGGCCTTCTCTGCTGCCTCCTTTATTCACCAACCCCAAAACCAGCCCATGGGGCTTTTAAGTTAGGAAAGTTTTTCTGGCAAGTGCTACAATGGAAACCAGAGGAAGAACAAAAAATAACAACTCCAAAAACGTGACCACTTTATGGGCAACTTTACAAAGTTCTTACAGTTGTTGACTAAGCTCAGACATCAATCCAAACCCCTCTAGGTCCCTATCAGACCTCCAGCCTGGATCATGTAGGTTCTTCTGGCTGGTTCCTTCTTGTTCCAGAACTTCTATCAAGTGCTGAAGCTCTGTCCAGGCCCTCCTCCCTGGCCTCTGCCTCAAAGAGACTTTCCCAGCTTGTGAGGAAGCCAGCCCCCTATGGCCTTGCTCTGTCAAAAAGTCAAAAAGAGAAACCTATCTACCTCCGAACCCCAAAATGAAAACCAGAGTCAGCCACCAAATTCTAAACCATAGCTGTGCCTAGAAACCAGACGGCTAAAACTGGAGACACCCTACGGGAATAGTAAATCCACCATTCTCACTGTGCAGACAGTAAATGAGATTCCAATAGAGGTGCTCAGATTTGGGACCTACACAAATTTCGGGATGTTCTTTAAATGTGTCACACCCCTTCCATGCCCACATATTTGCTGAAATTTATCAGACCAACTAGAAAGAGGTAAATATTCTCCAAACAGAATCAAACTTTCCCTTAGGAAACTTGGAGGTTCTCCTAAGACAGGTGACCCTGCATGATGGGCCCTCTGCCTGTCCTTGTTTCTCATCCCCCTCACCAAACACAGCCTTAGAGATCCTCTCTAAGCCTCCCTCCACCCATAAGCACACACCTGGGTCTACTGCTCCTTTGCTGAAAGGTTCCTGCCCCCCTATTTGCAGGGCTGCTGTCTCATCCTTAGGTTTCAGGTTAGTTGCCCCACCCTCTGAGGGACTTTTCCTGGTCACTCTACACATTGCCCACAAACACCCAAACCCACGTTCTCTTTCTTTGCATTGGTCAGTTTCTTCTTTGCATGTACCACAGCCTCTCTTCCTCTGTCTCTTTGCTTTTGACTGAAGCTCTGCCTCCTGCTCATCTGGGAGCTGCATAGGATGAGGCTGTGCAGCCATGGTCACATTCTCTCCATGGCTCCTAGCACTGTGGCTGGCACAACATGGGTGTTCCATAACTGTAGGGAATTCATGCATGGATGCCATACAGTGACAGAGGCAGGACACAAGTCTTAAATACTTCCAAATTTATTAGGAGTAGCTGTTGTCACCTCAGCAGCCAGCTCCCATGTATACACGGTATACACACCCAGCCAGTACCCAGGGCTTCCCATCCTTCTGCAGTACATGGAATGCAAAAGAACTAACCACAGGTTGGGGGGGGAGCTCTATCAATGACAGTGTCTAGTGTCTCTGGCAGCTGATTCCCAGGCTGGGAGCACTCAGATATCTCAAACTGTCTTCAGCTCCTTCCAGCCCCCTCTCCAAAATGATGAGATCCATAAGAGGGTGTTAGGGTCAAACTCCTCCAATCAGTGCACATGATGGGCAAAGGAGGTTGGAAAATCCTGAGCCAACACCCCACCAAAGAAGTCCCTGGAGCCCCAGAATGGTCCTCTTCTTCCATAAGCATGAGATATCACCCTGACTGTTTGATTCCATCACCAGAAACCTCTCATCCCTGCTCAGTCCCGGAGAGCTCAGGTGGACTGAGGAAATGTTCAATAACTTCCCAAGTTGTCTTGGTTATACTTCTTTGTAAAAAGAAAAGAAGAAATTAAAAAAAAAAAAAAAAACACTGTGACAGAAGAGTATGGAGACCTGCCTGGCCTGTGTCAGGAGCAAAGGTGGTTATTCCTCCTTGAAATGCCTGTAAAAACAACTCACAGCAAACACTGCTCTGCTGAGGATTGGTCACCCCAGTGACCCCACCTAGTCACCTTCCTTCCCACCCACTCCTTCCCCTGCCCATTTCACACAATCCCCCCACCCCACCCCACCCTTCCATAGCCTAGGAGAGAAGGCACCAAGCATAGGGCGCAGTGCTGTCGTTGGCTGACAAGGCTCTCCATTTTTGCCTGGGCCCTTTTGACTCTGCAGCCTCACCATTCTCACTGGTACAAGGTGTTCCTCCTCTTTCTGTCCTGAGATGACTGCAGCCCTGCCTCGGAAAGCCACATGCCCTTCATCCCCTGCAGGAGTCTGTCTAATGTCTGCAGTGTGGGATTACAGCAGGGTTAGAACACTGTCCCAGAGGCTTGGCTGGCCAGCTGGTCAGTTTATGGATTTTGACTGTTAGGGAAAACCACACAGAAAAACTGAACCCCCTTCTCAGAGATGACATGTGCTTTGATCTTATCTCAGTGATAAGGTCCTAGACTCATCACCTAGACTTTGCCCCTGTACACCCTGGGCCTCAGCACCTTCAAGACATACCCAGCCTTGCCAAAGGATCTCTGACCCCCAAATGACTCCCCAACTTGTAGCTGTAGAAAACACGTGGGTTTTTACTCCCCTAACATATCTACAAGACAGCTGGGTCTCCAGAAGTTCCCACTGGTGGTTTCCAAGGGCCCCTGGATGAGATAGTTGATTCTTGGTGCTTCCTGAAACCCACACCCAAGGAAACTGAAGAGAGAGACCCTGGTCTTCATATTTAGAGCCTCAGCAAGTGGCCAAGCTGTGGAGAACAGGAAGCCATGCACCACACCCTCATCTCTATGGCTGGGCACATCAGTCTAAGGAGATGACAGCTGAGTGTGATGGGAGCACCAGGTCATATCTGTCCCTAAAGAGGGACAGGGTGGGTTCCCAGAGAGCATAATCTGAGGTAGCAAACAGTGAGCCCCATTTACCAACCAGAGAGGCAAAGGCATGGAGACAGATTGTGATGTGCCCCCAACAGACAACAGGAGCTGTCAGGCAAAGACTCACTTGCGGGCATGCGGATGTTTGGCACCTGGTCCTCCCAGGCATGCACACTCCCCTGGGTGGATGCAGAACAGTGGCCACTTTGGAAGTTCTCTGAGGCAATGTAGTGTCAATCTTACATCCTTCTCAGGAGCAAAAACCCATCAGAACTGGAGCCTCTGTTGTCCCATTCCAGGATGACATTCCCCAAAGCCAGCACAAGAGTGCAGCTTTCACCCACCCACCCCAACCCTAGCCCCAGTGAACTTTCCAGAGTTCTCCTCCCAGTCTCTGCTTCAACCACAGAATCGTCAACCCTTTTTAAGTGGCAGCATCTGTTTGCAAAGGACAGCTTCCTCCTAATGAACATGGGTTCCCTGTGAACTTTCCCCTTTGAGGACAACTTGGTGGCAGCCCCCTGTCAGTCTAATGCCCTGGTATCAGTGGGGAAGAGGCTGCTCTTTCAGAGAGGACTGAGATAGAGGATGAAGAACCTCATGACTCCCTTGCACTCCCATCTCTTTCCAAATGCAGAATCCCAGTTCCACTTGTACCCAATCTCATTCTCCCCTTGGCTGCCACCTACCCCTGGGACAGTGGTCCACATCTGTCAGAAAAGGAAAGAGGGCTGAGAGCACCGTGAAAACCCTGCCTTGTTCAGAGGTGGCTCAGAGCCCCTGGGGCCACCTGAGGATGCCAAGCTGCTGGGCCATGGCTCTTCCAGCAGCCTGTGACCTCCCTTTTGGGGGCCGAGGTCCCTGAAGTTCTGTCTGGGCAGCACCCGACCTTCAGGCCCCTCAGAAACTGGGCCTCAGCACCTTCTGCCCAGCACCCACACTTCACTGCCTCTCCCTGCAACTGGACCCCCGAGGAGCGGGACGTGAGGTAGACTGTGCATTAGTTAACTTTCCCCTGCCCAGTCCAGGGAGGAGGGAACCTCTCGCCCCAACCCATGGCCCTTGTCCTGGACATGAGTGACATTATGGTGTGGGCCCCTGGCCACTGTCCTCTGCTCTAGCTGGCCAGAACACCAGCACAACAGGAGGGCAGAGAATGAGGGGGAGAAAAGGATAGGGCCACTCAGCAAGGCCTCAAGATGCAAAAGTCCAGTTCCTGGGGCTTGCGGCGTAGGTTGCACTGGTCTCTGGCCAGCAGCCGGCCTCTATGGCCCACACACTTGAGTGGACGCCTCTTAAATCCCCGGCCACAGCTCTTGGAGCAGGGAGACCAGGGCCCCAGCTCCCAGGTCGGGCAGGGCTCCCCACAGGCTCGTGTCTCCACTGGTCGATGGGCTACATCACAGGCAGAGGCCCCACGCTGTCCCAGCGAGCCCCGGCAATCCACTGCTCGCTTCTGCAAGCCACTGCCACAGCTCGCCGAGCAAGGCCCCCAGCTGCCTGCCACCCAGCGTGCAAGGGGCCTGTCATCTGGCTGTTCCACTTGATTGGAGAGGCTGAGGACGCTATTGTGCAGCACAGAGGGGCTCTGGGGCTCTTTGGGTGGGAGGACTTGTCCTCTCGAGGCTCTTTGGGCAGATAGAAGGAATAGCGGACCCTTGGTGGTGTCATCTTCCCCACAGAAAGAACCTCCACAGTCAGTGGCTCCAGGATGGGTCGGAAAGCCTGCAGACTCTCCACTGCTGTACCCGTGCCGCTATACCGAAGAAGGCTGCCCTTCACCACCAGGTCCCGTTCCACAGCCGACACCACGAAGTGCCCATTAAGCAGGTACTTGCCTTGGCTGTTCTTCAGGGCCAGATAGTTGTCATCCCCAATCAACCCCTTGTAGCCACGCTGGCGGATATCAATGCTCGAGGCGCCTGCAGGGATGGCCACCACGAAATTGTAGCCATGCCTGGGGTAGGAAAGGAGAACAGTGCATTAGACAGATGCCTGGATTAAGGGCCTCTCACCCCTTCAAAGCCATAATGGAGTCCCTGTTTGCAAATCCTGAGGTGTGTCATCAAGATGGCAGCAGAATGCAAAGACTCAGGCTGCTCAACCACCATCCAGGACATGATGGAGGCGCAAAACTAAAAGCTGGCACATGTGCTTATTGTTACATGACCTAAAACTGAATCCCTGGGCTGTAGACTCTCATGAGTAAGATGAACTGCCTTAAACATGAATTTTACTCCCATAGTGTGGGAGTAAAAGCACAAGCTTTGGAGTTAGGGAGATCCATGCCTCTTTGCTTTGCTGTTGGTCTTGGATAAGTCTCGGCTTCTCTGAGCTTCTGTTTCCTCGCCCATAAAACAGAGCTCATCATCACACATACCTCATTTAACTGTAAGGATTAAAGAAGCCACAGCACATAAATCAGGGAGCATAGTGCCCAGCAAAGAGAGGACTCCATGGGTAGCAACCATGATGAGGAGGAGGGGGAGAGAGGAAGTAAGTCTACAGTGCCCAAGTCCAAGGCTGGATGCTCAATGCAGTGAGAGTACCAGCCCTGGAGTTCTCTTTAAGCAAGTCAGTTTCTCTGGATTCTAGTGTCCTTATTTGCACAATGACTGGGTTAAGCAAGATTTCTAAGACTCCTTCCAGTTCCAGTCTGTAAAAAAAACACTTGCTGTTTCATCTAGGGTAGGTCTAGGTATCGCTAGACCTCTAACTCCCCATGTGGCCACCCTGCTGCAGGTCCCTGTGAAGGACAGCCTTCAAAACATCCACCTGCAGTGCCCAAATTTCCAGAAAAGGGGTTTGGTTTCCTCCCTATGCATCACCTATCTAGGAGCTGAGAGGAGATTGTCATGTCCAGAGGGGACAGTCAGACTTCAGGACAGCTATCTTGTCTTTCCATTATGGGCACCTGGACTCTGGAGTTTTCACACTACTGCTATTAACTGAGACCTCCAGGGCTCTGCCTGCCCCTGCACCTTCCAGAGAATGGGTCAGGACTTTTGAAGGAGTATGAGCTCAACCTCAGAAATCTCTAGCTAGGGAGCACAGACACTGGAGTAGGGACTAGAAGAGGTGCAGAGATGGTTCCCCAGCTGATACAGGGGCCCATTTTCCAGGAAGTAGAGGCCACTTGCTCAGCCTTTACCCCAGTTTACTGCCCTTCTTGCCCAATCCAATCCCCAACGCCAGGGCCTCAGGTCCAGGGAAAGGATAGCAGCTGTCTCATGCTGCCTCCTTCTCATCATGGTCATGCACTGAGCATGCACCAGCTACTACATTGACCATTTTTTTTTATTAATTGCCTTCTCCTTATAAGAGCACACATGAAGTTATTAGTATGCCCACTTTACTCTCTAGAAGTGTGGAGAGTAAATCACTTGCCCAAGGTCATGCAGAAAATGGGAAACTGAGATTTGAAAGTAGGTCAGTCCTACTGTAGAAAGCTAGATAGAACCTAAAAACTCTGCCTTCTCCCTGAGTATCATCTCCTCCTGAAGTATGTGTGTCCTCCTGTAGCATTCATCTTTGCTGGATGGCTGGCTGGATGGATGGATATCAGCCTAGCAGAGTATGGTGGCCTCCACAGTAAGAATATGACTCAGACCTGACATTCTCCCCAATTCTAATCCAAAATTCCAATACTTCAGGAGAATTCCACTCATCCCACTCTCCCCTTATCCCCAGACTGCACCCTCCAGGGCCCAGAACTCACATGGGCTTGGTGAAGAGACCTGTCACTCTCTTGCAGCTCTTATTATCTCCCCCACAGACGCCACATTTGTCAAACTTCTTCTTGGAGCCCAGGTTCCCATCGCAGCCAGCCTTAATGCACTTGCCTTGGACACAGACCGAGGTGGAGTCAGGAGTACACAGCGTACCATCTACCACCTGCAGCACCCCCAGGAAGAAAAGAAGAGGAAGAGGGAGCAGCTCAGCTGCATGCTCCCCTGAAGACCTGGTCCTTGCTATGGTCTCCTGCCCCCAGCCTACTCACCTTGGGTGCCAGCACGTAGAAGTAGCCAGTGCCATTGGCTCGGCAGATGAGCTTGCACTTGTCCCGGGGAGACACACCTGAGTACTTGGGTACCCATGCCACAGCCAGGGTAAGGCGGTTGGTACTATGGTTGTAGCCATTGAAAGCCTCACACTGCTCTTCCCGGAAGCTCTTGCCAGAGGCTAGGGAGGGAGGAAGCACAGATAGGACGCTAGAGAGAGGAGCCACAAGAGATGTTGCAAAAGGCAGCATCCCTCCCAGGGGTGTCCAGCCCCCAAGACTCTAAACAGCCCTCTTACACTTTCAGCAGCATGATGTTTACCCTGTCTCAGAGGACTAAAGTAGGCTAGGAGCAAAAGGTACAGGGCACAGATATAAGGCATCCTCCAGCAATGCGCTGTCTCCTCCAGTAATCTACCCTTAACTCCAATAACAGGCATATCCTAAACGTTTGTTCAGTCATGTAATCTTCAGCAGTCTATTGAAATTATTTTCACAATAGCATTATTAAAAGCCTACAGCATTACATCATTTACAAGGAAAACCAATTATATTGATATATAACTATTAATATATATTTGAAACATTGTGGTATATGTGCTCCTTTCTTAATACATAAAATAAAGATTCAATAGTGAATCTAATAACTCCTGTAATGTTGAGGCAAGAATGAGCATAAATGGCATTTTTAAGAGTTCTTTCAGCAATTGAAATGCCATATGAAAATATCCATTATTTCCATTGGTGACAAAGTCACAAGTATTCCTACTACTATTGTAGTTTGTTGCCTACATGAAAGAAATACTAAGTCCTTTCCATCTGCTACATATTAGATAGAAAGGTTAAAAAAAAGAAAACATGCTAAATTTCTAACTGGAGGAAATACGAAATTATAGACAGAAACTTTAGTAAAAATAAAGATGCAAAATTTTTCCCCACCACGTTCAGGGGCCCTGGATTCCTGCTTAGAAGATGGATTGGTCAGTAGTGAACTACTATGACTTCTAGTGCCTCATGCACTTGAGTCTTTAGCTTCCCAGTCTAAGTACCCAGAAGAAAACAGCCTTGATAAAGATGAGTGGCCAAAGGAATAGTTCCAAGAAGGCTCTGTGCCTCTCCACTTCCAGGCTCTGTGTTGGAGGTTAGAATCTAGATTTCAATCTCTCTGTAGCCACAACTGACCTGAAGGGTGCATGGGAGGCAGTGACCTTCAGGCTCTCCTTTCCAGGGCCTAAGACACTCACTGTACTCCCCGCCTCACCTGAGCTGGGGCAGGGCTCCAGGTTGCAAGATCGGTATTTCACTCTCACACCCTCGCAGTACTTGCCCCCATTGGCAGGGGTGGGGTTGCTGCACTGTCTCCGAGCCAGCTGCACACCCCCACCACAGGTACGTGAGCAGGGACTGTAGGGCTCCCACTTGGCCCAGGAGCCATCCACCTGTGAAGAAAACCAGTTATGTTCTTTCTTGCAGCTCCAGAAGCCAAACCCAGCCCCTTAGCCTACAGAAGATCCTGGTACTGCCTCCAAAGTCTCATCCCACCCCACTGGCATAAAAACCCACTTTGTATCAGGAGAAAAACATAAGTAAATGATTTGTGTGCACAGGGCCCACACAGCACTTCAACCAAGGGCTCCTTGTTAAAAATGGAACTGCTCAGAAGAGAGAGGCCCCTTTAGCCTTCACTACAAAGGAGGGCTTGAGCTGATGGTCAAACCTCCTTAGGTTTCACCTGCAAAAAAATGGGGCCTGTAATGCTCAGGTCTGAGGTCAGATGGAAGATTTAAATGGAGTGACATGTACGCAGATCTCTCACCCCAGGCCTGACTGTATGCAGGAGCTGGAAGTTTCCCCTTATTGTTAGTCTATGCACAGAGCCTCTAAACCTTTGAGAGTCCCAGCCTAAAGCCTTTCCTGTAAACAGTGTTGCCACAGATATTTAAATATTTATATTTGTAAATGTTCTGTAATTCAGACTTTTGTCCAAACCAAACTGATTTCAATCAAGGGCTGTATTTGAGAGTTTCACTGACTGTACTGCTAGGGTTTGTGTCAAGAGAGCATTAAGACGAGAGATTATTAAGCAAACCTAAAACTCTGGAGTAAGTTATGTAGTGGGTGTTTGTTTGTTTAAAAGAGTAGAGAAGGAATACAAAATTTATAATCTTCATTATGATATTTTAGGATGATGGTAAAATGGGTTTTCACCTCCTACACACATATCAGTTGGGCAACGAAGAAGCAGCCCAGTTGTACAAATGTGGGATTAAAACTGTCATAGATCACCCATAAAGTGAAGAGCGCCACATACATCTAATCAAAAACTGCCTGTATGAAATATAATGACTTATGTATATATTCAGCAGATTATTCAATCTGTCCTCTGGTCAGATAGTTCTCCTTTCATTGTGTCAAACAGGTCTGTTTGATTCTATTTTTTTTAAGCCATTGTCCCTTATTCCTGAAAGAACCGAACTAGTACTCACTTCACCCCTCCTTTCTCATTCTGAGACAGTCATCTACATCTGCTCTCTCCCCCTTCTTTCTCCTCTGAGCCCTGCATTACGGTTTTGTCTCTATCACACCACAGAGGCTTGCTCTCTCAAAAATCAGTAATGACCACCTAAGAATGAATGAATTGAGGCTCAGGCCTTATAATCCACAACTTTTCTTTGGTATTTAACGTTGTTTCTGCAGCTTTGGAGATAAAGCTATTTGATTTTCACCTGGCATCATTTCTTCCCTCCACTTGTACAAAATTATTCAGTGGGTTCCTGCCTGTGCCATTCACTCATTAATGCACCGGACATTCACTAAGCTCCTACAACATCCCTAACGCCATGTGAAGTCCCTGCCCTTAAAGCCACAACATCCTAGTGGAGGAAGACAAGCAATAACAAGCCAGTGCATGTAGAGGTTGGATGAGTTGAAAGCAAGTGAAGGTGAGGGCAATGGGAGGACCTTAGTAAGATGGGCTGCTCTGAACAGGAGGGGTCAGGGAGACCACACTCTTGTAGAGCCTGACAGAAGGATGGGCGTGAGCCATGCAGATATTAGGGAAAGAGCATTCCAGGCAGAGGGAGCAAGTGATGTGTCTGAGGAGGGATGCATGGAGAGGACGCCAGCATCATTGGAGCAGAGGGAGCAAGAGGCCAGAGCAGGCAAGAAGGCACAGAGATTGGGCTGACTCACTCTGAGCCAGGCATAAAGCCCCTGGAGGCTTCCAAGCAGAGAAGTGGCATAACCTAACCTTCAAGTTTATTTTTATAAACTTGGCACTGGGATTTGAACTCAAGGCCTCATGCCTGATAGGAGCTCTTACCACTTGAGTCATTCTACCAGCCCTTTTTTTTGTGTGATTTTTTTTAAGATAGGGTCTCGAAAACTATTTGCCCAGAGCTGGCTTCAAACCACGATCCTCCTGATCTCTGCCTCCTAAATAGCTAGGATTAAAGGTATGAGCCACCAGCACCTGACATAACTTTCATTTTTAAATAATACCGCTGGCTGCTCTGTTGAGCATAGTCTATAAGAAGTAAGATCAGAAGCAGGGAAACCAGAGGCGGAGGGATTGCCATGAATCCAGGGGAGAAGGGATGGTGGCTTGGACAACGATGACAGCAAGGAAGTAGTGAGAAGTGGGGCTAGAACACAGGGTCAATAGGAATTGCTGAGCTATCAGATGTGATGTGTGTGAGAAAAGGAGCTTTGGCATGAGCAAGTAGAAGATGGAGTTGCCAATACAGGTTTGGGGATGGATCAGGAGCTTGGTTTTGCAGTGCCATGTTTAAGATGCTTATCAGGTGTCCAAATGGAATCTCCAAGATCCACTTATAGATATATAAGATCCAGAGAGAGGCATAGACTAGAGATACATACTTAAGCGTCCTCAGCCTCTAAGTGGTGCTTAGAGCGAAGGTCTAGATGAACCAACTAGAGATTGAGTGTGGATAGGACTGAGCCGTGAGGCATTGAAAATGAGAGGATAAGAAAATGCCAGTGAAGAGTCTAAGAGGAGCAGCCAGTGAGAGAGGAGAAGAAGCCACAAGTCAGTGGAGGCTCTCGGGCCAGGTGGAGACAGGGTTCTCAGGAGAGAGAGTAATGGCTTGTGTTAAACGCTGCATCTGGTCAGCCCACGGGCAGACTGGCAATCAACCTTGGACTTAAGCAATATGAGGCCATTTGACGGCCATAATAAGAATTACTTGGTAGGGATATTGGGAGCGAAAATCTATTAGAATGAGCTCTGGAGGGAAACAAGAAGCAGGAATTAGAGAGAGCAATGTTTTACAATGTTTTCAAGGAACTTTGCTGTAAAGGGAAGTAGGAGAAACAGACTGCGCTGTGTGCGGAGGACAAACATCATGAAAAGTCTTGTTTAAGATGGAAGAAATTATAACAAGTTTGTATCCTGATGTGAATGACTCCACTCAAGAGGGGGAACTGATAGTGCAGGGGAGAGAGAGGATAATTGGTAAGTGATGTTCTTGACTGGACAAGAAGGATGGTGCAAGCATAAAGCGTGGCCTCAGGTCAGAGCACGGACAGGCCATTCACCTACTGTGAAGGGTGAAGGTGTTCTACCTGGCTGCACAGAAGCAATCAGGTGGGGTGAGGGCGCAGTGGTAGGAGCTGATGGAAGTTCTCTTCTGGTTTCCTGATTGCTTCTTTTATCTTGGTGAATTGGGTAGAAGATTACTGGTTGCTGTGGTTCACATATGGTTTGTCTCCCAAGAGTTCATGTGTTAGAAACTCAGTCCCCAATATGGTGGTATTAAGTGGTGGGACCTCCTTTAAGAGGTGAGGCATTGGGCTGGCAGAGTGGCTCAAGTCGTATTGTTCCTACCTACCAAGCATGAGGCTCTGAGTTCAAACCCCAGTATCACCCAAAATCAAATCCCTTCAGAAGGGATTAGATAGTTCTAGGGGGGTGCTGACTAGTTCCATGAGTGTGAGACGTTATAAAAGATGGATCCTGGGCCTCTCCACTCTGGCTTCCTGTCTCACTGTGTGAGCTCTCCATCTTGCATGCACTCCCATCAGGATGCTATCTGCCATGAGGCAACACAGCCAAGGGAGACCTCACTAGAACCTGCATCATGCTTTTTGGGCTTTCAGCCTCCATAACTGAGCTAGGAGTGGGGCTGAGGTTCAAGTAGTAAAATGCTCACCTAGCAAGTAACCTCGCAAGTACAAAGCCCTGAGTTCAAGCCCCAGTACCACTAAAAACTGTGAGCTAGATAAACCTCTCTTCTTCATAAGTTTCCTGCCTCCAATATTTCATTATAGAAATGGAAAAATGCACTAATACCAGTGAAAGTGAAAATGAGGAAGGAGTTGGTAATGGAAGAAGAGAGAAATTATGAACTGATACATATAGGAGGCTGGGAGAATGCATGAACTATGACTCCTCGTTCCAACTGAGTTTCCAGGTTGATAATTTTAACAATGGATCACAGACTCTCAACTCAATAGAGTGGAGGTGAGGGCATGAGAAGGAAAAATGGGAAGACAGTTATACCAATGGACTATAGGCTCAGATATGACTGAAGAATTATTGGAATCCAAAAACTAAAAAGGAGTGGGCAAGGAAGATGGGACATGGAGGTCAGAGTGGAATTCTGAACTGGGACCACTGAGGGCTTTGGTGATCTGTAAGATAAGCCTTGTGCTTTGACCTTGACGGTGTTCCCATTGAAGACACAGATTTCAGTTCAAAGGGTAGTGAAGAGACTATTCAGAAGAGTTATAGTAGATTTTGCCAATGATAAAGAATTACAAAAACTGTGTGGGAAGAGTGTACATCCCAGGCCACATCTTATGCAACATTCTCCTGAATAGTCTCTGTGTCTTCTGGACTCACTTTCCCAAAAGAAAGAGCTGGCCATGACTTGCCTTTCCTTAGAACCTTCTAGTCTGAACCCATCAAGCAGGTTGTGCCCCAAACTACATTCCCAAAGACATTTCCAATGGAGCCCTTGACCACCAACCCCAGGCTCACACAGATTCACATCTGGACCTATTGAGATCTTACTCACCCTCAAAGCTCTCTTCAAATCCCACCTTCTCCTCAATGGTTTTTCACTTCCTTGTGATCATCATTAATCTCTCACCCCTGCTATTCCATGATGCTCTTTTACACTTTTGTGCTACCACAGAAAACATCTCTCTGTGTCTTGCATTGGAATGACATTTTTAGCCTCCTCACTGAACTTGAGCTCTCTAAGGCATGGCTAATGTTTTATTTCTTTTTCTGACCATCACTGTATCTTAAACAGTTCCCTGAATACAATAAGCTGTTGCCTAATAAATGGTTGAAGGTTTAGTTAAATATATTTCCAAGTCACAGAAAAAGATTCTAAGTAATTCTGTACCACACCTATCTCAAGGAAATGCTTTTTTGTAACATTGCTTCTGTGCACATAAAACCCTGTACCAACTCCTTCCCCAGCTGGGGGCAGGGATGGGGAACAGACAATCACCAAGGATGGGCTTCTTATTCCTGCTTTGGAAAATACAGATCCATTTACTACCCTAGGCCTAAAGAATACAAAGTTTGTATTACATTCAGAGCCTACTTGGGGCTCTAATGTTCTGGTTTCATTGTTAGTCCTATTTTATTTGGGGGAATAAATACACTTGCTTGATTGCTTTTCAGTTCTAAAAACAAAACAACAACGACAACAGAAACTGAAGCTGAGTTCAGGACATGTCAAATTACAGAAGCTTGTCCAGGACTATACTTTGCTTCATTTCTAAGCTTTGTTCGTCTGTGTGGCCCCCAGCTCCATGAATATGGAGTTGATGAGGGAAGAAGAAAGGATGAAGTCAGACTATAAGCCACTCTCAACGTCAAGGGCTCAGCTCTGGGCCCAGAGCATCTCTCCACCTAGAATGGGGCACAGGACTCAGAGCTGAGACCCCAATCCTGTTCAAGGCTTTTTGCCACACGTTTCAGACTTAACCAAGTTCTTTGACCCACCATAGCTTTTTTTCTCCACTCTTGAGAGTCAAAACCAAGATAGGACCATAGACCAGCAAAGAGGCACATCACAGCAATGTGATTCAGGTCTGGTCACACAGCTACTCTATGAGCAGTTTCCCAGTAGAGACCAAGCCAGTGGAGGCCTGGCCCAACCTTCCTCCTAGTAATCCTGATGCACATTCTCCAGCACTCACCCGGTACTTGTTGAGGTTGTGTCTTTCCACACAGGCCCCCTTGAGGCAGAACTTGCCCTCGCCACAGCTGGTGCCATCTGCCCAGGGGAAATGGCGGGTCTGGCATACCATCTGTCCCTTGGCCTTGCCAGTGCACCATAGCTTTGTGCAGTACTGCATATATGGGCAGGGCTTAGAACCCACACCAAAGGCCAGTTCGCACTGCTGGCTCAGGGTATAGCTGGTGCCTGGCAGGTCCTCAGGCAGAGAGATGGGCTTGCTGGGTTGGTCCAGGAGACAGTCACCTGCAGAAAGCCAAGGACATTTGTTAGAACAAGCTGAGGAAAGTAGGCATGGCTGGCCTAAAATCTAAATGGTAAGGACAGAATGAAGCAAGGGACAACTAGAATGGACCCATGTCAGAGCCTAACTTCTTGAGGCTGTTACCCCTCACATGGGTGGTGAGTGTCCCTCTGGGCCAGTCCTGCTCCTCTCTGCTACCCTGACTTACCATGCCCACTGTCCAGGAAGTCAGTGATGATGGCAGCACTGCAGGCTGACCAGGGGTTGGCACGGTCAATCTGGATGAGAGTTGGAGACATCATGTGATTGGCACGGAGCTTTCCAAACACCTCCTCGCACACCTTCACATTGTCATGGGGCATATTGAACACGTGGCCTGTGGAGTAAAACAAGAGAACTCAGGGGCCGGAGAAAAGGGCTGCACAGAACAGGCATAAGGGATTCAGGGAGGAATGGGAGAGGCTAGAAAACCTTATGACAGTTACTGGTCATTTGTATCTACAGATGGATTGCTTTGTAAATGTCCCCAAGACCTGTGCTTGCATCTTCCATCCTCTCCATCAGGCTGTGAGCTCCGTGGGGACAAAAGTGTGTCTCATTGTCGGAACGTATTCTCCCCATAGTTCCCAAGTGACAGACACTCTGCAAAGGTACTCAGACCACATCACTGGGAAACTAGGCTGGGGTAATTGAAGAACACAAAACAAAGCCACTGCCCAGGTGGACTCTGCTCCCAAGAAAGGATCCCTAAAGGTTTCAGAACATGAGAGAACAAAGGCAAATGTCTCTCCACCCCCAAAGCACCTAGCACAAACCCAGAACAACTCCAAAGGACATCTCCCCTCCCCTCCAGCCTTACCCAGCTCATGGGCAGTGGTGAAGGCTGATGGAAGCCCATCATCCTCAATGACAGAACAACTTCTCTTGGGATCGCACATGGTGCCCACGTCAGCCATGCCCAGGGTGTCACAGGTAGTAGCCCCACATAGATCCTGCCAGATGGGAGAGAAGCAGAGTCAGCATAAAGTTAGAGAAAGTGACTGAAGGGATCTGAAGGGAAGAAAGGACACCCTATGAAACATTCCAGTTCATCCCCACTCCAAGTCCAACACCTTCCAGGAACGCCCTCCTTGCTAAGCTATTATGGAGCTGTTCACAGATTCAACCCAGACTGAGGGAGAAATCCAACTCCGGGAGAAAGCTCTGTGGCTCACCAAAAAGACTGGCCCAACCCTACCCTTGGAAGTCCTGTGGGAAGTAATTAAGAGGTTCAAAATTAAACTATAAGGACATTGCTCTATATAGAGACAGCCTTCCAGACCAGGAAAATGGTGACTCCCACAGTGGGGTGAGGTTCTGGTCATGGTTCCCTAAGACAGGTGGGGTGGAAGGCAACCACGCTCCTCATCCAGAGTCAGCTTTGAGCAGTCTCCATTTTTGTTGAGTGACAAATTAATTAATGAATTAAGTTCAGATTCTCAACCACAGGATCAGTGACAAAGGACCACCCATGCCAGAGATTTGGATTCCTTGGGCTAGAAGGAGGCAGAATGAAGTGGATAGAAGCCACCATCTACAAATAGTTTAATTAGCTACAGATGCTCAAGGGGACCCCAGGCTCAAAGGATAGAAGGAAGAAAAGGAAAAGAGATAATCAACTATGCAGGAAGCTTAAATCGCTGAGATTTAGGGCTTCCAAAAGCACACCTTGATAGGAAGCACTTCCAGGGGATACTGAAGGGCAAAACAGGGCTCCAGGGGTGAGTATCACAAAGAACTTACTGAACACTATAGGCCACTGATGCATAGAGACCTTAAGAACCCAGGAGTTGGGGCTGGAGGCACAGCTCAAGTGGTAGAATGCCTGCCTAGCAAGTATGAAGTCCTGAGTTCAAACCCCAATACCGCCAAAAACAAACAAAACAAGAACCCAGGAGTTGAAAGTAGGATGAGACACTCATGCACATTCTGTTCCACTTGAGAAGACATGCGTTGAATCAGTGACTCTGGCATTCTCTTCATTATGTCACTGTCTTTCATGCTTATGACATTCTATAGTGTAAAAGAAGCAGGTACATCTATCGCCTCATTCAACCCTGACATATTTTTCCTTAGGAGGAAAAATAACATATGTACTTATCAAGGTAGAAACTGAAGCTCATAATCATAGCTAACCATGGCCATGATTTACTAAATGGTGACGCCATGTATGTACTGTACATGATAACCCTAATCTGACCCTCACAACAGCCCACTGAAATCTTGACTAATTATCACCTTTCACAGAGGCTGAGGCTCAGAGGTTCAAGTCACAGAGCAGACACATGTACTCAGGGTCTGCATCGCTGTTGGCTCAGTGCTCTTTTCACTATGTCATAGCCAACTATCCAACAACTCCATAGCCAAGGCTCAGGAGAAAGAGCTGTGTTGTTCTCCTGTGGAAGCCAAGGGGTGCGTACGAACACACAAACAGCTGTTCTCAATATTGTCTCCCTTTCCAGCTCTGTGTCTATGCGTGTGCACACACATGCATGCATGTCTTAACCTGAGTGGGGGAGGGTAGGCAGAAGCAGAATTAGTGGGGTCAGAGGGCATAAGAGAAAAAGTGGTCATAGTACAGAAAAACAGCAAAATTTAATCCAAAGCACTCAGAAGTTTACCACCTGAGCAATCAGGTGATAGTCACACCTCTTAATGAGTTAACAGTTCTTCTGGCCAGAGACCATGAGGGTGACCAACCTGAACCCAGAGTACTAGAGTCAGGGGCTCTGTGCTCAGTCGCCTGTGTTTGCCCTGTGCACTTCTTCCACTTTCAGGATCCCCAGGAGGACCTCAAATCCCAATCTCTTCACAGTATCCCTTCTTCTTCAAAAACTCACTGTCTCAGAAAGTTCTTCTCCAGAGCCCTGAACCCTAGAGAAACAACCACTGTCAATGTCTGTTCACCTGAACAGCAGTTTAGAGAATGTGGCTGCTGAGACCACAGAACAGCTTGTGAATGGGGAGGAAATGGTAAGATGAGGAAGGAAGGCATAGTATAGTGAAAGAGGGAGGGAGAGAAATGGGGCCATGTGTCCTGGATACTACAGAATAGAATCTCGACCATCAAAGAGGGTCATCTCTGGAAATTCTAGTCCAGTGGTTACAACCTATAGCAGAGCCTCGCAGGCAGACATATTCCATGGCTTCCAGGTCACTCTGCACACTCACTGCTGCCCTCAAGTAAGAGAGAGGGAGCACAGGAGTAAGAACCAAGAAGCCTAGATTCTAGTCCTGACCCCGTTACTAAGTGGATGCGTGACTTTGGCAAAGCCCCTTCTCCCTCAGGGTCTCAGTTTCCTACTCTGTGGAAGAGTTTTCAACTAGAACTTGGACTACCCAGTGCCTTAAACCTATCCTCCTTCCCCAGTCCTGGGGTGCTCAGCTCCTTCTGGCTCCACAGGTTACAAAGAGAACACACAGAAAGATGTGATTTTTAGAATGAAAGGAATGCTAGGAAGCTTCTTGTCTACTAACCTATGTCAGGTAGTGTACAGAACAAACTCACAGCAAAAACAGCAGTCACTCTGCCTTCTACTAGCACTCAGAGTGTGATTCCCCATCCTGCTCCTCAGAAGTAGCCAGATCAGGAGAGAGCTTACTTGGAATCCTGGGGGCCCTGCAGCTGTCTCTGTGTTTGGGAGATCCTTAGAGTTAAGGCGTCCTTCCTCAGAGAGGACAGATTTTCTCTGAAGGCCCTCCTGGCCAGGAGTAACTTGTTCTTGCCATCGAGAGATCTTGGCTTTGCTGGATCAAATAAGAACAAGGGAAGCCAACAAACTTCCTGCAAATAGGGAGTAGCAGAAAAGAGCCACCCTGCATTAACCAGTGTCCTCAGTGTGGAAAGGTGCTGATGGTGAGGGTAGAAGCTCTGCCTGACCTTCTTCCCTTAATCAGGGACGCAAATGAAGACTGGCTGGGCTTTGGTGCTTTGAATGCCTATGGATGCTTGAACAAGGGCCCGGTCATACCTCCTGAATGTCTCTACCCTTCTGGAATGAACTCAGAGGCACTCAAGTTGCCTTATCCCCTTCAGCTAATAGAAAACTCTTCTGCCTGGTTGATGTAGGCATTTCTGAGCCCAGTCCCTACCTGTTTCACTATTCCTAGCAACTTGCTATTTCTCTTATAGTCTTTTCCAAAAGACCCAAAAGTCATCTTGACCAAGAATCTAATCCTCCTGGACTATTCCTTTCTAACCATCCCTTCTTATAAAATAATTTAAGATTGGAGCTGCAAGGTAAATAAATAAATGAGGATAACACTTTTCAGCGGCCCAATCCCTGCTCTGTACACAACCCCCACCACTCCCACAGGTACCTTCCCTGCAGACCTCCTTCCCACTTTCTCTGCTGCCCATGCATATGTTGAGATGTTCAATGTTTTCCAGCCATACAGAGGAAAAAAGACCGACAAAAATCAAGATCATTAATTTTTTTAATGTAGCAGAAAAGAAATGCATTCTAATGCAACCAACTTCCTGCTTACATTGAAATCCGAGGCATGAGAGCAACATCACAAAGTCCAGAACCATCACAGAATTTCAGAACCATGCCCTTATTTTACAGATGAAGACACTGAGGCTCAGTGAGTTGAGATTTCACACCCAAGGCCACGCATCTATTAAGTGAAGAATGGAGCCCTGAATCCATGCCTTTGGACACTGGGACACCTAGGTTAGCAAGCAGTCTTCCTTGCTCTAAAGCATAGCTCACTAGTTAGAATACTGTAATTACTGGTACAAAGCACCCTATGTAATATGAATCATTATATTTACTTGTGAACCCAAATCTATATGCTTGTAATCCCAAGGATGGGAGGGCTATTCAGAGTGTGACTAAGGCTGTTTGGTGACAAAGAAGGATACAGCACAGCCTGGAAGTTGCTTTCTTATATTAGCAGATTTGGTTTCCCTCCAGATGTACAAAATGGTATTATTGCAAGAGACTGAAGTAATGAAAATAACAAGAATTACCCCAATGAGGAAGAAGAGAAGCCAAAGCTTATAGGAAGACCAAACATTCTCTAGAAATTATCACTTCCAAAGAGGGTGCCTACCAAATGCAACATTGATGGCTCATATTTATTGAGTTGTTACTATGTGCCAGTCACTGTTGCAAGAGTTTTGCCCAGATTAGCTCATTCAATCCTCACAGAAGCTTTGCAGGAGATGCCATTATTAGGCTCCATTTTACAGAAGAGACCCAACAAAGTAAGTAACTAGTCCAGGGTCTCTCAGTAAGCCCTCGGTTAGATAGAAAGGGAAGAGGCAGAGTGAGGGTTAAAATCCAGGTAGTGCTGCCTCAAAGCAGAGCTCTAGCCAGGACTCCCCACTCCCTGTGGTGCACATCCACCCCAAGAATAAAGGGGATGAGAAGTCAAGAGGGAAAATTTTCCCACCACAAACACACTGTCCATCCCCCCAACTCAAGCAAGTGCTGGCAGACACAGAGTGAGGAGAGTCCTGGGGAGGGAATAGACAGGACTCCGTGCTGAGAGCAGCACCTGCTGCCACCTCCACCTTGCTGGTTGAGCAAGTTCCTGGCTGCTTGCCCCACACCTGCATCGACACACTGACCCTGGCCCTGCTGTGCACCCTGTCTGCTGACTCCAGGGTGGATTAACAATCTCTCCTATGCCTCTCCCCGCCCCTTTCTCCAGGCAAAGCCTGATGACAGAGAGCCAAGATTAAATGCCAGAAGAACCAAAGGCTCTATCTCCCAACCCTGTAGCCTGACAGCCTGAATTTCGGATTAATGATGCCAGGAGTGAGGCAAACGGCCTGAGCGCCCACAGCTTCAGGCAGCCCACACTTCCCCACACACCATCCCCCAGGCATGCTTACTACCACGAGATGCTCGGACCTGTGCAGGGGCTACAAAGACATAAAGAGGTCTCTGCCTTAAAGGAGTTTACAGATCAGGACTAGCAAATGCTGGTACCCATGGTTCCCACACAAACATGGAACTATTAACCAGACAAGTGTGATGTACACTTGTAAGGGTAATGGGTGAGGATGTCTTGAAACAGCCCTATCTCAAATTTACACTCTGGCAAAAGTAATCATCACACAAGAAGCATAGTGAGGCCTATTCTGGACAATTCAGTAACTCATCCTGGAAATAGCCCTGCCAGTTAGACATCATTGTGAGCCTCCTTCTAAGGATGAGGAGAGCGAAGTTCAAATAGGTGACTCACTCATGGTCCATCAGTAGGAAGCTGAAGTTCTAGGACTCAACTCAGCTTGCCTGACTCCAAGCCTGTGTTTTTTCCATTGTGCCATGTGACCAAGGTGTCAAGACAAGGTGCAAGGAAGTACCAAGGAAGGGAGGGAGAGAGAAACAACTTACAGAGAAGGTCAAAGGAAGGTGGAGAGCAAGACTTAAAGAAGGATAAAACTTTTTCTCTCTCTGCACAGGATAGAACATTCCCCCGCCCCAAAAAAAGTGGCTGCTTTTTTTTGGGGGGTGGATGGAGGGTTGGTATTGGGGTTTGAAGTCAGGGCCTCACACTTCCTAGGCAAGCACTCTACCACTTGAACCACACCCTCCAGCCCTTTTTGCTTTAGTTATTTTTCAGATGAGAGCTCACACTTTTGCCTTGGGCCACTCTTGAACCTCTTACCTCACCTCTGCCTCCTATGTAGCTGGGGTCACAGGCATAAACACCATGCCCAGCTTGTTCTTTGAGTTAGTCTCACTAACTTTTTGCCAGGGCTGGCCTCAAACCAAGATCCTCCTGTCTCCACCTCGCAAGTAGTTAGCATTACAAGCAAGAGCTACAGCACTTGACCCCTTACTACTGGTCTTCTTAACTAAGCCAGTAGTTAAAAAGAGAAAGAGAAAAAAACAGAGAGACAGAGAGAAAGGCAAACAGCACTTGAGAGACTGAGGCAGGAGGATTTCAAGCTCTAGTTCAACCCAGGCTATATAGTGAGACCCTGGAAGGGAGAAGAGGAGGGAAGAAAGGAAGACAGAGAAGGAGGAAGGACAGAGAGAGGAAGAGAAAGAGATGCCAAGCCTGGTGGTGTGTGCCTGTACTCGCAGTTACTTGGGAGGCTGACACAGAAAGATCCCTTGAGCCTAAGAGCTAGAGGCCAACCTGGGCAACACAGAGATCCCATCCCTCTTCCTCTCAAAAATGAAAAAAAGACTCCCTCCAATCCTCCTTCCCCATCTTCTGCTGTTAATATCAGGCTTGCTTACTTGGTATAGGAAAAGGACAAAGAGAGGAGTTGCCCCACAAAACAGGCAACAGCCATATTTTACTGCTTCCTCTCTTTTTCCTCACATTCCTCTCCCCCTCCCAGGAGTGTTGGTGCATCACCATGTCATGATCAAGAACGACAAACTATTAAATACCAAATCTTCAGATGGCCCCTCTTTCTAATATCTTCTAAGGCCTGACTTCAAAAAAGATCCTGGTGAAATCATGATTCTTTTGGCTCATCCTGGGTGTAGATGTAAAATACAAATCACCCTTTTATTATTCATATTTTTAATGTGAATGCTAAATTTGCTGTCCTGTTGCAAGTGCTTTATTATAGAAAACACTGGCCTGTTTCACATGAGTTTCCAGATTCTATCCTGCTCTGCACAGGATAGAACATATCCCTCCCAAAAAAATTAAAATGTGGTGCTCCCCAAGGCCAACACCAGAAGCTCAGCACCGAGACTGAGACAGTGAGAGGGGAAAGGTCAGGGTATGAATGAAGAAAATAAAACAGACAAAAGCCCACCTGGATAATCCCAGAAGAGGAAGATGAAAAGGTCAAGAGAGAAGAGAATGGTGAATGGCATAAAAGTGGCACTAAGCACTGCAGAAAAAACAAAATAAATGAAAAACAAGCAAGGAGAAAAACCATAAACTACAAGTCATAAAAAGTGAAAATGAAGTCATCTCAAAAGAGGAAATGTCACAAATAGCAATGCAGATGGTGGAGGGAGTGAAGGGAGCCACAGCACAGAAAACAAGCATCCTTTCCCATCCCCACCAGCTCCCTGACCAAGCCCTTCCTGCAGCCTGACCCCTTGGAGAGCATCCTCATCTCATGGCGGAAGGGGGTGTGTGGGGGTGTGGAATGTCCCTCAGGAGGCTCCCACAGGGAAGGCTCCATGCCTCTGTCCAGGCACTTAGCATGATGGACTGTGATTAGCTGCTCCTTGTCACACAGTAAATTTCTGGGGGGCCCAGATCACATCTTATTAATGTGTGTATCTCCAGCCCAGGATAGAGCCTCAAAATAATAGATGCTCAATATGTGTTAAAAGAATGTTAAGAATAAATGTGTGAAAACCCATTCTACCACAAAGAGTTACCCAAACAGCAGAGGCACTGGACCTAAAGACAAGGAATATTGAGTCTCGGCAGTAAATACCTGGCGCCTGCTGCCCAATGCAAGGAAAAGCCAGAGAATTTTTTCTCCTCATAGAAGTAAATGAGAAAGACTCTGGCTCTAATTCTGGGCAGATTCTTGTTCCAATCCTGGGCTGACCTCACCCTGTTGTTATGAGCTTGGAGGCTGATTGCTTTGCAAAATCAGATGTGTACTCTTTGTCCGTGAACTTATTCTGAATCTCTACATAAACTCCAATTGTCAAAACACTTGTTGTATGATCAATGAATTCTCCCTTCCAGACAGTTAAGGCTCCTGGAGACCACATCTGCCTTAGTCTAGAAAAGGCAGCTGTTTGCCCATGTTCTCATCCCATACAGTACCTTCCCCCCAGGGAGCTCAGGAATGAGAAGTTGCTAAGACTTTGAGAATGCAGCAGGCCCCAAAATCTGTGCTGGCAAGGAGATGTGGGAGAGATGTTTACCCAAAGGATAGCACACATACCTTGACGACCGGCCTGCCAACACAGCCTCCCCACTCTCTGGCTTTGCCCTCTAGATGCCTAAGGGGAAAATAGCTTCTAAAAGTCGCATCTTGCACATCCCTGTTTCTGACCAAGTGGTCATGCATCCTGTACCCATTATGCATGGACAACACAGCCCCCCAGGGGCTAGTGCACCACTGAGAACAGAAGCTGTCACGCTGTTTCACTGTTTCTTCAAAAGGCAGATCCTTCCGATGGCATGGCCCATGTTCCCAGCAGGACTCATCTTCCTGGGGCTGGTTGGAAAAGTCAGCCTTAACCAGTAGGTGGTGGAGAGAGATCTGTTACTTTGGAGCTGGGGAGTGACCTCTGCAGGGGCATTCCAGGTAGCAAATGGGGTGACAGCTGCTATGCCCATTAAGATATCCTGTTCCTGGCCTTTGCTTTCCCCCTTTTTCCCCAGCAACCTGACTGTGGGACTGGTTTGTGTGCAGAGGTTGAAGCCACCTCCTCTGCAGTTTCCCCATGAATCAGGCAGTGCTTGTAGGGGCTGGGCAGCAGCAACTCGACAGACCTCAGTTGGAAGTGAGCACAAGGAAACAAGACTCAGGCCAAAGACCTCCCTAGAGAAACCAGGTGGTGGGAGGAGAAAAGGCTGGGAAAGGAGGAAGTTCAACTTCAGGAAGGGACTAGCTGTGCCAAATGGGTTACTGTGGAAGACTCCAGTTCCAGCCCATGGGCGCCAGACCAGCTTTAAGTGGCCATTTGGAAACAGAGAAGAGTGAGAGCCCCAGAAGTAACCAAAGATTCTGTGCCATAGCCAGAATGCTGTGGTTTTGATAATGAGAAAACAAGAGTGTGACATCCATTTAAGTCACAGCCCCAAAAATCAGAGGAAATGGTTCACTTGGCTTGCCCTTTTCCTCCCAGTCTCCTTTATCTGAGAAATTTCAAAAATCCAGAAACTTCACAGCTTTCAACCACATCAACACCTATGAATCTAAATGTTCACAAATTCATGCTTCTTTGAGATAGAATATCAGGTAAAGAGCTATAAAAGGCAAATGTGCTTTCCTGGTCTGGGTCCACCTCTCTAATCCCAGTACTCAATGTCTTTCCAACCCTGCAGCCGGAGTCTCCAAGTGTTCTTGACCAAGTTCACACCCCTTCCATGCAATGAAGGCTGTGCACTCTAGTGGGATCAGAAGAATTTTAGTGAGTCTGGAACGAAATCAGTATTGCCTGCTTTGCTCCCTAGCATACAGCTGGGCAAATGGGTAACCCTCTGCTAACGAGGATCCGGAAAAACTGGAAGAGATTTTTCCAGATCAATTCCAAATGAAATAGTCTCAGCTCCAAACAGGTGCCCCACTAAACTGCCTGCTCAGAACGGTCTGGAAGCCGGTAAACGGGGCCTAGCCCGGAGGGGTTAGGAGAAGCAATGGATGCTCCCGGTGTATACCCGAGTCTGACCTTTCACTGCAACCCAAAAAATACCCCCAGTGATTCCCCCATCCCAATCCAGGTTTTCCAGGCCCAGAACACAGAGAGGCTAACACGTTTCCCGCTAGAAATGTACCAGGCACTGACCTTGGATCACCTTCAAGTTCTACAGCCAGCAAAAAGAAGCCTCCTAGGTGACCGAGAGAACTTAGACGCCCCAAACAGGAGGGGCGGATGTTCCCGCCCTCTATAATGCCATCCTCTTAGCGCCTCCTATCGGCCTTGAAGACAAACTGCGGATAGGGGGCGGCAACTGCCTGGGTTCCGGCCCCTTAGAGCCTTATCCAGGAGGCACTGATTGGCCGCGTCAGGCCAACACCTTCGCAGGAGCAGGCTGTGCTCCAACCGCCCAGATGCACGAGTGCTGGAGCTCTGCTGAGCCTAGGACAAGGCACGAATTGGAGGTTTCCAAGTTGCAGTCAGAAAACATCAACGGCATTTAAACTTGGCACTGAGAGGCACAAAGGGACTTTGGATAGCCAAGGATAGTGACACTAAGAGAATGGGGCTAACTAGGTCTAAAGAGGTGACAAGTCAACTCACCTGCCTGGTGAAGAGGATGGCGGTATCCCAATACTCAGGATGCTTGTCGCTCACTTTGTTCAATTTCTTCTGCCAGGCGCAGAAGTTGCGCAGAGTCAGAGCCGCATTGCCTGTGACCTTAGGCCCGGTATCCCGGTCCCCAAGAACCAGCACTTTGACCACAACGATGTTGATGGGATTGAGGATGCTGGGATGGCGATAGAGTCGGGCCGCTGTGGCCAGCAGCGTTAGCAGATAATGCTCCAAGTCCGCCCCGTGGAACTTGACCATTGACTCGTCCGCCACCACTAGTGTCTCCACGTACCGTGGGATAGACACGAAGCGCTTGGCGCGCCCGGACCTGCGCGGGTTGTGACTCTCCCCTAAGCCCGTCCGTTGCGGCTTGTAAGGGTCTAGGGCCCGCAGGATGGCGGGGTTCCAGCCCGAGGCCACACCGCAGCGAGAGGTGGGGTCTACAGAAGACCCACTTGGAGCACCCCGGCGCTGGAGAAGGTGTGCGCCCTGGCTGTTGCGCTGCGCCACCGACGCGCTGGCGTTGGGCAGCGGACTAATGACATACTCTGCGCCTCGGTAGCCAAAGGCACCACGGAGACCCCCGCACAGACTCACAGCTGCAAACGAGTCTGGCTCAGCGTTCACGTCCCCGGAGTAGAAGCAGCGTCTCAGGTCTAGAGAGCTACCGGCGAGCCTCTGGAAGGGTACACCCAGATATTCAGTGGCGAAGGCGGGAGCCAGGAACTGAACATCCGGCGTCAGGTGTAGGTAAAAGTCCTCCTGAAATGCTGTGATCTGAAAAATGAGCCCCTGATCCCCGGAGTCCTCGGGACCCCTCCGGTAGTAGTGGCGGCCGTTAATGTCCGGGTCCAGTCGGATGGGAACCACCACCTCCCGCTCTGGTTGGGAACTGCCAGCAGGTCGCCCGGCGACAGCCAGGGCTAAGATGCCCAGGAGAAGCATGGCGCCGGGCAGCGCACAGCCGCGCTGTGCGAAGGGGCTCGGCCCGGCTCCCCGGTGGCGGGCACCGTCTCGTTGCAGAGCACCAACTCCGGAACAGCCGGCAGCTCCCAGAAAGAAGAGCCAACCCAGTCAAGAAGACTCCTCACAGCGCAGCGAGTGTGCACCCGGCTGCCCGCGCCTCCTACCTGTGCCTTTCCAAGCAAAGCGCGCCCTGGGAGCTTAAGAACAATCGCTGTCAAGTGCAAGGACGAAAAATTTGCCGCGGAGAACCGGCGGGAGGTGCTGGGCTGCTTCTCCGAACCGCAGTCACTCGCAGCGCTGCAAACCCGACGCTGGGCGAGCCTATAAAGGCCCCCTCCTCTTTGGACTGCCCAGTCAGCGCCCCTCCTCTCGATCCCTTCCCAGCCTCCCAGTGCTCGCAGCCCCGAGCCTCCAGGGGCCACCGGAGAACTCGGTCCCGCCTCCAGAGCTACAGCCACTTGGCGGGGAGGGAGTGGCGTTGAGCTAAGGCAGCAGGCGTGGGCTGGCCAGAGAAACCAGTGCTGGAGTCACGGTTAGCATTTGGCCCTAGGTTGTGCCCCATTATCCGGGCACATCATTTACTCCTGCCCGTGCCAACATCTGTGAGCTCCCCCGAGTCTTAACCGTTATCTCAAGGCAGCTGGGGTCAGGGGTCCGGGATCAGGAATGAAGACACCACTGACCTTTCTCCCAAGCCCTTTTGCAACGTTTTTTCTTAATCATCGAAGTCCCCTAATGGAACCCAAATCAAGAATTTCCCCTATAAATGTCCTATTGCTGGAAGGACAACTTTCAGAACCAGTCAGGCCTATAGTCTGCCCTGGGGCCAATGGTGCGCTGGATGGGCTGGGGCAGACAATTAGGTTTTTAGGAATTTTACTAGCCAGCTCTTAAACACAGCCACTATTTAAAAATACATTATACAAACTTACAATTCAATAAATCATATTTTTAAACAAAGTTGATAGTCAAAACCCATCACATCCTAATTATTTAATAATTGTCTATGGTTTTGAACAACCAACCCTTCCCCAACAGCCCAGAAAAGAGAGCAGAGAAATGTGGAAATGGATGTACCATCACCCCAGTGCTTGGAGGGGATGTAGCGGGCAGGTGCCAGGGTTGCAGTTACAAGAGAGAAAGTTGTCTTCCTGCCAGGAAGAAGTTGCAGGACTGATGGACAGTAGAAAAACCAGGTGGTGCATCCTCTTGAGATTATATCATTTGATCCTTGACCAAATGTTGGGCAGGACACTAGAGTGAGAGGCTGAAATGTATTAGCGGAGAAGACACAATCACACCCTAAATTCCCGTTCAATTTGAAGAGAAGCCCAGAGACCCTGTTTTTTACTATAGACCTCAAGGTTCTCCTTATCTCTCTGCAGAATCCACTTCTTTCTCTGACAAGGAAGAAGGCCAAAAACAGGAAAGAGACTTTCCTAGTCTCTCCCAATACCTAGAAAATTGTTCAAGTGCCAAAGGGCTCTGAGTTGAGTTTGCAAAAGGAGAAAACTGTCACTTGTGATGACTTTTAAGTATAAAGGGGCAGTGTAGAAGACTTTTGGCACTGTCTTTGAGAAGTGGTTGCTCAAGTAAATGACTCTATTGTCAAAGAAAGAGAAAACTGGGGCCAGTCCATTAGTGAAGAGCACTTTTTGCCTATTATCTTCTCCCCATAAAGGACCCACTCTTACAAGAGCCCCCCCCCGGGGGCCTTAGAACAAGAAAATGGTACAGATGCCCATAATTCTACAGGGGCCCCTCCTTAACTGAGACACAAGGAGCTAAAATTCATTATATGAATGAGTAAGAGATGGGTGTTTATACTCTGTAAATGAAAAGGAGAGTACACATATGGGAGGATGGTGTGTGAGATAGTTTACAAAGGCTTATGTGTTTAAATGTTCAAAGAAGGCCTATAATTAAAGAGCAACTCAGCAATGATAAGTCAGTTATTTAGGGCAAGCCATTGTTTTCCTAAATTTAGCAGTTTTGATGGCGTGTTACTAGGTTTTTAACCGTATTTTATTTTCACCCTAATCAATGGATTTGGACAAGGCCTGCAGCCTGTCAATCAAAATGGCTGGCCCAAAGAGAGGAAGCCCCCTCCCCACCAAGTACTTCAGTTTCCCTTCTAAAATCACAGTCAACCAATCTCACCTCTGAGCACAGAAACTGGCCACATGGGCTTGCTCAAAGGCACTTGTGTGTATTGTACACACTCTGTGCTAAGCACTACACTGAGTTTTATATGCATTGTCTTAACACTTGTCTGTCCCCTCTTGTTCTGTGGTTCCGTTCAGTAGCATTTCCAGAGGCTCCTAACAAGGAAATGAGAAAGGAGGAATATGCTGATGGAGAGCACTTGTTGGGAGAAATCAGGATCCATACTCCCTTTCCACTACCTATCTGACTCTCAGACTCTGAATTCCTCCATCTGTCAAAAGAGAAATGATCATCCTAAGTCAGAGGTCTGCAGTCAGAAGTCTGCACTGGAAATCTCTGGCAGGTCACTTCCCAATCAAACATGACATGACTGCTTGATTGAGGTCTAGGGAAGGCAACAGAGATGAGGGTTAAGAACCCGTGATCAGAGGGCCCTCCGTGCATCCTCCACCAGAGGGTAGTAGCTATGCAGTCTTGAGTAAGTTATCATACCTTCCTAAGCCTCAGTTTCTCCACTGTTAAAATGAGATAATACTCCCACTCCTGCAGCTGTTGTGAGGATTGAATAATTATTGCTCCTAAAGATCCCGGCAGTGTTTGAAACACAAAAAAAAGTTTCTTAAATGTAGTCTAACAGGTAACATTCTTACTAGTCATTATTATTATTATTATCATTGTCATGTCACTAATACTGCTACTACCAAGCTTTAGTGGACCTTCCAGATCAGCGCCATCACCCTTCCCAGCAGCGAAGGGAGGAGAGCTAATGGGAATGTCCTACCCAGCTTGGCTTTCTCAGGAACTCCCACATGGCTTCAGCAGTTCCACTTCTGTGCTAGGATTCCACAGCTGCCACCCTCTGACTTCTCCCTGTCCTCTATAGTCTCAAGATTCTTGGAAAATAAAAGGCAACTCCTCCCCCAGAAAAGATTGAGGACCAGGCCATGCTGTCACATCTTACTTGGCCTTCAATGCTCTTCAGGCCACCCAATTTAACAAGTCCCAAAGCATGTTCATAATAATATACTTTGTTTGGTCCCTAGCTTTTATCTCTTTCTAAAACTGTTTTGTTGGGGCTAGACATTATGGCTTACATCTATAATCTCAGCTACCTGGGAGGAGAGTTCAGGTTCAAGGCCAACTCCAGCAAAAAGTTAGCAAGATCCCATCTCAATGAACATCCTAGATATGTTTATGCATGCCTGTAATCCTATCTACATAGGAGTTATAGGTAGGAAGATCACTGAGGCCATTCCCAGCCAAAAGAAGAGTACAAGATCCTTTCTAAAAAATAACTAAAAGCAAAAGAGGACTGGGGTATGGCTCAAGTGATTGAGCACATACCTAGCAAGTGTGAGACCCTAAACTGTTTTGTTTGCTTAAGTCTTTACTTCTTTACTAACTCCCCAACACTGGCTAGAATGAGAGTGAGACTTATCTATCTTATTCACTATTCTGTTCCCTAATGTCTGACAGCACTGGGCATACAGGGGCTCCCCATAAGTACTGAATGAATGAATTGGTCAATCATTTAATCAACTGGATTCTTTTCTCCGCTTGCTCATACACTATCTGTAAAATATTGGACAAGATATTTCATCTCCAACAAGGGTATCTCATGCAGTTGAGTGCCCAATGCACATGACCATAACTCCTCAATTCTTCGTCCTCTTTGGCAGGCAGACACCCTTGCCCAGCCCCAGTCACCTAGCCATCATCCTCATTTCAGAGGCAGCTGAGGTCCAGTCAGAGAAAGTGTCCTGTCAAAGGCAACCCAGCTAGCTGCTTTACTCATCTCATGAACTCATTAGTCTTCCCTCTACCTAAATACCTGGCTGCAGCTAAACTAACTAGCTTGGCTGCTTTGTGATGCTATTTCTGCTTGTGGAGCTATATGTAAGTCATTCCTGATGTGTAGGATGCCCATTCAATCTTGTCTATGCCTGTCTATAGATAACAGAAGCCACTTGACTGAATTCTCACAGCCGTGGCTGCTCCTTTTTGCTTAGTTCCTTTGGCCTCTATGTATTCCACTTCTAACATAGACATATTGTGGGGTGCCCCTTGCTAATTGTGTTAAACCCTTTTCCTGAAACTGGGCTACAGCCATAATGACATGGAAACCCATCAAAACAGGCTCCCTTTCCTTCTGTCAGTCTCCATGACAGTCCTTAGCACAGGTGTTGGCTGCTTGGCTGAGCCATCAGCTCAGAAGGTTCCAGGTAGAATATCAACCCAAAAAAAGGCCATCACTGAGACCAGAAGGAAGCAACAGGGTTAGTTGTGAGACTCAGGTTTCAGTTCCTACAGATCTGATGGTTCTCCATCGTCAGGGCCAAGGATTACTCTGCAACCTGTGACAGTGAGCATCCTGGAGGATCTCCACAAAATGAGAGAAAAAACTATGGAGAACACAGTGCAGGGGGAGGACAAGACATTAGCGGAAGGAAAGTGATTGGATGAACACTCCAATTCCTCAGATCGGATACTACGAATCATTGGTTTGCCAGCTTGGGATTTAAATCAGGTTTTATACAACATGAAATCAGATTTATTAATTTATCGATTAATCCTTTTTTTTTTTTTTGCTTTGTGACTTTATCATTCTTTGTCAAAAATCCCTAAAAGTCCCAGTGTGTTTCTCCTGCTCTTCATGGAACCTGCACAACAGAGACAAGCAAAGCAGACAACACCTAGACAGCTTGGGCCTCAGGGAGTCCCTGAGAGGCCAGGGAGTGTTGACCTCCAGAGCTGCCATCATCCATTGCCTCCCAACACCTTTGGGCCCTTGGCCACTCTTGTTTCAGTGGAGAGACAACAGAGCAGCTGGAGACTCATCTAAAGCCCCACGAATTAGGGCTCAGGGCTTGTGTCCATTCTTCACTGCTCAGAGGAAATAGTTAACTCTGTGTTCTCTAGCTTTCCTCTGTTCTATTCAAGTAAGCTGGTACTTACTTGACTTACTTACTTACTCCTGGACTTGTTCTCTTGAACACTAGAAGAGTAGAACAAAGGGTCTTTATTTGGCTTGGGCAAACTCAACAAACAATTCCAAGCTACCTTTTTCTTCCACCCTGAATCTTCCCTTACATAGTCTTCAATACCAGTTATCACCCGAGTACCTCAAGTTCCCCAATTCAATCATTTGTTTTAGAGCTTTATATATACATCCCCCAGTGCAGATTACTTTGG